CCCCCCCCCCGGCCCAAAAGCTTCAAAGAAAAACAAATAGAAAAAATAGTATCCTATAAAACACATCAGAAAATGCAAAAGTTTGTGTGTGACCTGTTTGGGGTTTTTTTGTTTTGTTTTGTTTTGTTTTTTGTTTTTGGTTGGGGGGGAGGTTGTTTTTTTTAATCAAGCGTGATAGCTCTGGTTCCTATAAGCCCCTATCTTATAAGAGAGTGGAGGTATAGTAGAGGGTAACTATATATGGCTTTATAATGGCAGCTTTGCAAGCTGTAACAGTGGGTGTTCTGAGAATGAAATGTAACAGACTTGTGCCCTGTTCTGAGGATGTTGTTGGGCTCTCCGGACTACAGTAAATCCTACAGGCACTTCAAGGCCACGTAGGCCGTCCTTAGTAACCTAGTATTTTGACAACTCGGAGATGACTTATATTCCCCTATCCAAGACTTTCTCTTCCTTTTGAGTTGTGTTTGTACCTGTGATGTTGTATCAGAATGGTTATGTTTACAAATGAAGATATTTTTTGCAAACTGCCAAGACTACAAACTCAAAATGGAAACTGAAAATAAAGCTCAGGCATTCTTGCTCATAGTATCATACATAGAAGAATAACAGGCTATATGGGATCTTCAGCATTAATTGGAATAGAAGTAGTAGAAACTTATTTATATCCACCATTATTCGCCACTCAAAAAATGAATGTTAGATGGGGCTTTGTATGTACTGACTTTTAAACACTTTAGTAAAACTAAATGCTAATATTTTGATTCCTTAGAGCACACAAGAAAAGCTGGCAAGCAGAGAGAAGAGCATGCAAGACAGATTACGCCTCGGGCATTTTACAACAGTTCGTCATGGTGCTTCATTTACTGAACAGTGGACAGATGGTTTTGCATTTCAGAATCTTGTGAAGTTAGTCAATGTTATGTTTTTAAAATTCTCAGTAATTGTCAGTTCCCTCCAGTGGATTTTTTATTACTAAGAGCTACTAGGATTGGAGCTACTTTTCATATGTAGTATTTTGCTGCGCCTTTTGAAGTTTCAGAATATAGTACAGAACTCCCTTAATCAACTGACAGAATGTAGAATGCTGAGTCCTGATGTCTTTGAAAGAAGATGATTGGGTCTCACTTGATTTTAACAAGCCTTAGAAAAAAGTGTGAATTTACTAAATGAGCATCACTTAATTATTCAGCACAGTTGATAGAAAAAGTTGTAAACCTAGATCAGTGATTCTCAAACTGTGGTCCACAGACTACTGGTGGTCAGTGGAACAGTTAATGGTCTGTGGAGTGCTTGCTGGTCACATGGTGCTGGCTCCACATCCTTCATTATAGCAGCTTCTACAGACATTCAGGCTCTTCATTGCAATGAAGGAGGAGCAAGAAGGAGGAGCAAACCTAGCAGCTTCCACTAGGGGCTGCTGCTAGCATAAGCGGATGGGGGAAAGGAGCCTGTAGCCGCCAGCAGGAAAAGAGCTGCCTTAACAAGGTACTTCAGCAGAGAATGGGATAGAGGAGGAAGCATTTGGGGAAACTGGGTAGAGGGTGGAATTGGGGAGGGGGAAAAGCAATTAATTTATTATTTCAGATACATGCTTTGGGAAGGAAACTGACTCAGTTTTGTAATTTTATTAAGTATATATGGAAAGTGTGGAAACCTGAATGGGATTAATAGATGATTGTGTGGGGAGATGCTCTGTGGAGATGCTCTTAAGAAATAGACCTACATGAAATGTTTGAGAACCCCTGACCTAGTAGTATATAATGCTTTAGTTTAAGTAGCCTTCTGTATATGTGAGTTTTTGTATGCATACCATTATTATTTGTAATATAACCCAACTGATTTATTAATGAAAACTCAGCTCCAATGTAACATCTTGTTCAGATACAATTATATTGATACTCTTTATTGACATTCCTGACTCTTTCCTTTTGTTAAGCCATATTGTCCACTTTCTCAAGATATAGTTTCTTTCCTAGTTGCAGAAAGCATGTGTGAAGCCTCTAGAAACATTTTCCATAAGAAGTTAAAGTAATATATTTTTAACCACTGATTTATTTCTTGTGACACTCTTATATGATCCTGTTCTTCATTTATATTGAGATGATTATTAATAAAAAGTACAACTTTTTAATTATCAATATATTAACCTTGCAAAAATTGCAAATTTTGAAAGATAATGTATTTTCTCCCATATATAATATATCTCACCTCATCTTGCCCTTCCTTACCCTTCCCCCACAATAAGTCCCACACCTTTGTTTTTTAGAAGGCGGAACACAAGAAAAGATGTTTCCAGTCGCGGCTGACTATGTGACAAGAGTAAATCCTCCTGGGAACACAGTGTCTAGCGAGTGTGGCATCCCAGGTGACAGACTGGTGAGGCGGCAGGAACCTCCTGGTATGGCAATCTGTCTCCTGGAATGCCATGATCATTCCTGGACACTGTTTCCAGGTGAACTTACCTGTGTCACGCAAGATTAGGGTCCCAGGTTCTTGCAAGGTCAAGAGTACTTTATGTAAGTTCCTGTGAATTAAGTGTTATTTCCATATCACAGGCCTTATGATACTATCATAATCCCTTCCGACCCTAACATCTATGAATCTATCAGCACCTCACTTTCTGCTTCATGCATAAGGTGCAGTACTTAGCCAATATGGCTGTGAGAGACTTAGCACAGGACTCCATCCCTTCAACTTTGAGTTAGATGAGTGGCAGCAGCATGTCATGCACAGTGACTCCAGGAGTGCTTTTTTCCAGCAAACAGCTTCCCTACCTAATATACAAACCCCAATTTTGGGGAAAAGGTGGGTTGTGTGTGCAAGAAAATACAGTATCAACAATGAATACACTAAGAAACAAACATCCAGAATAAGGCTATGCAAAGTCCTTTCCTATATGCCAAAAAAGTAAATATGGTATTTTCACATTTACAGTACCTTTTTAAAAATATGAAACTCTTCATTTTTTACTAAGAAATGAGGAAGTTACTCAGTGAATTAAATCCATTGCTGGAAACCTGCTTTTTGGAATACTGTTGGTTGTCAAATGTGATGAGAAATAATATATTATTTTTGGGGTTTACAGGCAGCAAGAGTGGGTGAATCAACAAAGAGAAGAGATTGAAAGGCAAAGAAAGCTCCTAGCAAAGCGAAAGCCTCCATCTACAAATAATTCTCAGGCACCATCTGCCAATTCTGAACCAAAACAAAGGAAAAATAAAGCTGTCAATGGGGCAGAAAATGATCCCTTTGTTAGACCCAATTTACCACAGCTGTAAGTTTTAATGTTTCAGTTAATCTTTTACAGTTTTCTAGGTAACATCTGTTGCTTTTCAGGTAGTGGCAAGAGTATGGTCCTTAATGCCATATATTCAGTAAATTAGAATCTAACTCTGGTCTTGCTGACGGCTTGTCAAGGTTAGGGAAGCTTGCTAGTTTCTGTGAAAATGCAGTACTTCAGTGCACTTCATCTTTGGTAAATTCACAAGTAAAAGCCTTGTTTTGCTCTGATGTAGTGTATCAAATATTCCCTAATCTAGATGAGTCTTTATTCTAGATTGCTACACTTATAACATCACATTTCAGTGCAGTTATGCCTGATCTATACAAGTTAAGTAACAGAGAATCAAGCTCTTACAAGTAAATTCAGTTTGTTGAAAATTATGTTAAGTCTTTTTCAATTGATTTTGAAAGGAGTTCTCTCCAACCTTTGGTGTCTGAAGGCGTGCATCTAAATTAAAAATGAGCTGAAACAAAGCAAATAAAAGTTTATATCCTTTCTTTTCTGAAGAACATAAGCCTTGAGATCCTCTGTTAAAGGAGGTGCTAATTCCCACTTCATATATCAAGGGATCGTAGCAACTGCAAAATAAAAGTAAAAACTGTTAAACAGCTCTTCTTTTTACTGATGGGCATTTTTTCCTACAGAGAAAAAAATGGTGCAACTTAGTTTGAACCACAGCTGCACACATTATAAGTAGTGAAGCTGTATGAAATTTTTGAATCTGTTGAAAAGTTTTGGTCACCTAGAAACTAAAATCATTGTGCAAATATAAGTAATAAAATAGTTGTAACCCTCCTAATAAGTAGCCACAAAATTATCTTGGGCAATGTTACCTCAGTAGAGAATTCATTGTGTTAGTTAATGTTAAAACATATACATTTTTAATAGTGGTTTATTAATATTTGTAAGTAATCTGATTCATTAATATTTTTCAACCATTTGAATAAGCAAAATTCTTATGTAAGTATTATTTATTTTAATCTGCTTTAATAGAAATGTAACAGCGTGTGCAAGAGGCATCAGCTTAAATAACCCATCTGTCTGAAAAAACATTTTACCACTGTTATTACAGAAAACACAAATTAAATATAAAGAAAAGAATTTGAAGTGGAGGCAAGTTTTCCTGTTTTTTAGTTTTTCTTTGCACTTGACAGCTTCATTGCATATTCATTGTCACTGTATCAAAAAGCAGTGTGCTTCAGATTCTCATAAATGCGTCTTTTAAATTGACTAGATTTCCTTTTGATTGCAATCTACTGGCCATTGGAAAAATATTGACCTTCTTGGCTGCTTTCCCAGAAGAAGCAGTGCTTGCTTCAACCCAGCTCCTCAGCGTCTGTATAGATTGGGTGTTTCAGCAGGGCTTTTTGGTGCCCTTAGCTAAAGCCGATTCAATAACTATTAGATAAAAACACCAAAAAAGCCCCACTGAAATGCCCAATGTATACAGACGTCAGGTGAACTGGGTCCAATTAACACACTGCCTGTGCTGGGCTTGGCACAGGAGCACACGGAATTCAAAGTAAAGTGCTATTTTGGTGGGCAGGGTGGGGAGTTAATGTCTGCAAGGAGCCTTTATGATCATGGAAACCACTGCATTTTACATGTCTACTGTAGGCAGCACAAGGTGGCAAAGGTGGAAAATAAGAAGTATTGATACAGGATTTAATAACTGACATTCAACCATTAGGTTGATGCCAATAGCTTAGGGGGAAAAAAAACTCTTGGATCAGAGTTCTCTGTAAGAAAATATCTCAGTAGTGCCAACAAAAAAACAGCTTTAATTTCATATGTAGCTTAAGACTTAAACAGTTTTCTCATATAAAATAGGGATGTTTCACTCTGCAACTACCTTTTAAAAATGTCCTTTAAAATAGTTCTAGAACCAGTATTGGGTTTTTTTCCAGACTATGTAGTCTTAAAACTAACTTTCATTTTTATGCAGTTTGACAATCTCCAACTCCTTATTTACTTAGGAAATAGCAATAATTATGTTAGAATTTTACAACCACAAGCTTAAGATGTTAAGATATGTTAGTGGTCTCATTACCTTTTAGCTGTGCAGAAAAGCTCTGTAATTGTTTTTATTTTTTTATTACCCAAATAGAGCTTGTAAAAATTCAAACTTTCTGTGTATTAAAAATCCAAGCAATTGCTATTGTTACTTGCCTTTTAATAACTTGAGTGGTGTATTTGGCCTTTTTTTTGTCTTCAAATTCTCTTCACTGCTGCTTTAGTAGATGGTAATACCTGAAATAGAAGTAGAATTCATAGGAGTCATTGCATATTTAATAGTATGTGAATGTTGGGGGGTTTTTTCCTCTAAACTTACAAAAAGCTGCTTCTGTCTTGCCATCTCAATGATTTCCAAAATTGCTTTAAATATTTTAAATTCACATTTAATTTAAATTTGATTAAGCACTTATATGCAAACTACACTGAATTTAAACATTAAAAGCAGTTGTTGGTTTTATAGTTGTCAAAAGAAGTTAATTGTAGTTGTAGTTCAACATTTCAGCAATCAAGTTGTAGTTCTATATAAATTCATTAATCAAATTAAACATGGGTGTGCAATTGCACACCTTAGTTTGATCTTTAAGACTATCTGCCCAGATATAACTGCTGCTCATGCATAAGACTATCTGCCCAGTTTGTCTTACACAACTGCGTTACTCACAAAACTCCATTATGCATCCTGGGAGCATCAGAAACCAAGGCCCCAAGGTGCCTTTACGCCCAGGGCTTCAGTGGTGTTTTAAATCTTTAATTAAAATTTGTTACAGTTTTATTTAGCATAATGTACATTCTCCTCTGGAAGATGAAATTGCTGTTCCCCATTACAGAGCTAAACACTAGTCCACGTGGCTGATTGAAACAATTATTAATTGTTCTTTTCCATTCTAGTGTTCATTTGTCATCTACTCTACCTAATTTGCCACTACTGCATTTATATTGCGCTCATCACTCTGAAAATAATGGTTCTAGTTAGTCCATAGCCAAAGGAGAAGGGGCTTGATTTATCCACAGCTGGAGGGAAGTATGGAACCACTGAGTTTAATGAACTAAAACAGAAATAATTCAGGTCTACATACACGTGTTTGATTAGGTCAACCTTTATACAAAAGAAGCGATCAGTTAGTAATGTTTGTCAGCAACAAGGCCTCTGTGCCATTTCTTTTGGTTTTGACTGTGGCATAGACATGGCAATAACTTTTGGCTTTGTTACAGGAAAGTGTGATTGAAACCAACGCTGAAAAGTTTTTTACTGCTCACGTACATAAAACAGTTTTCAAAACTATTTGAGAGTAGTACTTGAGGCTTTGTCAGGGAGGTTTTTTTCCTAGAGTAGCTAGCTATATAAAAGGTTAATGGCTTACTTTGTTCTTCTAATACAGTAAATCTGAGGTTTTTGTAGCAGACCGTCAAGATGGTATCTGATCACCTAAGCAAACCACCAATGCCTTTGTTTAGATGCCATGCATTAAATGAGAGAGATTGTATAGACCTGTGATTCTCAACCAGAGTGCTGTGGGTGCCCTGTGGCACCCAGCCGTGTGAGAGAAGTAAAGCGCTCTCTTCCCTCCCATCCTCCCCCCATCTGTCTCTTTGTGTCCATTGTAGCATCTCGGAGACCAGTGGCATTCCTAGCCACTCTTTTAGGGACTGCTGCCTTTGTCCTCCCCTGCCCTCTAGCACACCTGCCCACCCCCAGACTCTGAGCAGCATGCTTTGCTGTGGGCAGGTATGGGGCATTTTTACACATCCTCGGGGGGTGGGCCTTAGAGATGCTCTGATTAAAGTGCCTGCAGCATCCCATGTATCAGTGTCTCAGTGCTTCAACATGGTCGTGTAGATGCTTTAACTAAAGCTTGTTTAATGAGCTTTAGTTGAAATGTCCCCACTGCCATTTTGAAATGTGGGGACAGTGATGCATGAAACATGGAAGCTTGCTGGAGTGGACTAATTAGCATGCCCTAGCAGACTCAATTAATTGAGCCTGCTCTGATACGCTATAATTACAGCACATTGGAGTAGCCTTCTGGCATGTCTACAGGCACCCATGGACAGAAGATGGCTTCACTCACCAGTGTACATGACCCCCCAGGGGATGCTGTGGTCATGGGGAGTTGGGAGTCAGTGGTGGAAAGAGCAGGGCACATCAGAGTGAGGTCCTGACCCCATCACCCTTCTCTGGCACCAGCTAAATCAGTCTTTCTCAACTTTTTTAGCCTCAAGGCAGCCTCCATAAATTTTCAGAAGTTAAATTCTAACTAAGTAAATCTCATCCAGCACCCTGGGGTGCTGCAAAATTCAGAAAAGTTATGAAGGGCTGCCTTAAGGCTAAAAAGTAGACAACTACTGGCCTACACATTGTCTTCGTTTGCTAAAGTTTACTCTGGTAGCCCAAGTAACCATTGGTTTGATTTCTGAGTTTTCTTTAGTACTCAAAGAAATTTTATAAAAGGAATTGATTCAAAAGTCTCAATCCAAAATGTGTAGGGATAATAAACTCAGCAACCCTTTAAAATTTGTCCCATGTTTAATTATCCTATTCTGTGAGGATATTATATGCTTAATGACAACCCCACTGTTTATTCTGCTAGTGACTAATAAAGTATATAATCTAGAACGTATTGTTTAGTTTCCATAGTGATTTCCTCCATTCACTCCTCATTGTTAGCCATTTTGGTCCTGCTGACTTCCTAACCACTATTTCCTCTGCTGCTCCAGGTATTCACTAGTAATGTCTGCATAGAGATGCTTTAGTCCATATCTCTGTGCACAGTTAAAATATGTGAGAGTAGGGGATCTAGTAGGCAGTTGTGTTCATTCCTATCAACATGCTTGTAATTTAGAGGGAACATTCACTTGACTATGGAAGAAATAAGAATTTTTTTCAGCAACTGCAAAGTAGAGATTATTTATATTATAGCAAGGTGTCGATTGTGATCCACTGTTGTTTGTTACATCATGATTTTGGTTTTTAACCCTTTGTCTGTAGTTGCTAATAATTCCTGAAGCTTCTAACTTTTGAGGTGAAATTTCAATGCTAAATCTATGCTTGATAGTAAGCTTTTGATCATTTGAAAAATAATCAATTCAGCTGCTCTTGGGCAAAATAGAAAGGAAAATATCAGTCAGATGGGCTATTTACATTTGCTTTTGTCAAAAGATTTGAAATCTACTTATGAAAAATGCTGTCCAAATTATTATAAAGTCTATTTTACAAACAGAGCTGAACTGGAAAAGTTGGCTGAATCACCTAAGCAGTGAAAGGGTGCAGTGACCTACGTCACCAGTAATTTAACCCAGGTTAAAATAACTGTCAACAATACAATCAAGCATTTTATAAACTTATTACCAATGTATTTTTGGAGATGATGTTAACCATTTTAAATTTCTAATGAATAATATGTCACCTCTAATCAAATTAGTTGTCAATAAAATATACTGTAACTGTAAGAAAAATAATTACCTACATGGGTGCAGTGCATTGGACTTTGTGTTTCCCAAGTTGGCCTTTGGGTTTGTATACTTGTTTGTTTTTTCGCTACTTAATTTTATACTGTTTTAGGACATATTGGGCTAAAAGGCTGAGATTCTGGAATTGGAAATTTCAACCATGTAAGACAGAGGTATCAGGGATAGAGATGTCTGTTTCTGTTATTTCATTCTTATCTGTGTGTGTGTAGATATCAATTTCATCTTTGGGTTACCTGCTTATTAACTGCATTTTAAAATGCTAAACAATAAAGTGAATTTTTGTGCATCTTACAGTTCTTACTATCTTGTAAAAGCTATAACTTCCATGCATTTTATTGTCTTTGCAGATTAACTCTAGCCGAATATCACGAACAGGAGGAGATTTTCAAGCTTAGATTAGGGCATCTCAAAAAGGTATGTTCTTGGATTTTTGTTGTCATGCATCAAAATAAAAAAAAAATGGTGCCATAGCAGCACTATGGCAGGCTTCTTTTCAAAACTGCTTACTAGAAAGCAGTGTAGAGTTGTGTACTGAATAGTGATTTTATTCCTTCTAAATCTGGGGTGATAATGTACTGAACTTCTTGAAAGAGTGAGTCTATTTGTTACTCTGAACAAGTATTGGGGTGATTATTGTTGGGGATTATTATAATCACTCATCGAAGGAAGGTACGTGTATAGAGTAACTCCCAACATTGTTTTGTCATTAGTCGCGTCTGCTGCCTAGAATGTTACTGGCCGTGTAATGACTCTTTGAAATATTATGTTTCTTTAGGGCAAGCTGGTAAAGTCAGGGTGAGCTGAGGGCAGTCTACCTTCTGCAGAAAAGTATTGAGCACCTCATAAGATTAGGCATTATTGCTTTAACCTTTATTTTTTGCCTATTAAATCACAATTTCTTTTTCCTTATGAACAAGGCACAGCCCTTCAATTCTTAGTTACAGTTTAAGGTACAATGAATGTTACAGCAGAATGTTAAATGTGGAAAAACTAGAATGCAGATAGTGAGATTCTTGTTCACCATGCAGCAGGCTTCTTACGTTAAATAACTGTTACTTGTTTCTCCCCTACTGCCTATCAGGCTTTCATTTCTGTAGCTGCCAAATTTCAGCCAGAATCTGAAGAGTGATTTAAGTGCTCTCATGGGCGAATCTAGGATTTTGAAATGAGGGGTGGAGATGGTGTGATTATCACATATAATAAAATATATTTCTCTCCAGTTAAAGAAACTAGAAGTTTTACCAATATGCTTGAGGCCTAGGGGCATATTATTCAGTTTAAGATCACAGGAAAAACAAATGTAACTTTATTGGAAGGTGCATTGACTTGCTATAGCATATATTATTTATAAAAGCACAACAAGGCCCGGAAGCGGCGAGAGACGCGCGGGTGAAAGCTCGCTGCGCCCCCGCTCCCCCGAAGCCCCCCAAAACCCTCCAGCAGCCGCGGAGCGCCCTGCCAACCCCCAGCACAGCCGGGGTAAGCGGGGCCCATGGAGAGAGGGGGCTAACCTCTTAGTGTGTGTGTGGGAGGAGGCGGCTGAGTGGAGCCGGGCCGGGTCAAGCCCCACCCAGGCCCCTACTTGGCCCAGCCCCCCAGGGAGAGAGAGAGGAGGGGGGGTACTCACCTGTCCCCCTCCAGTAGGGCAGGGTCCCCCAAATCCTGGGCAGGGCCTCCTTATTGCCCTAAGAGCAGCTTCCTCGACGGCAGGCCCACTGCGCATGCGCGCAGTT